TGTAAAATTAACCATTTTAAGCGTAGAGTGCCGTGTCTTTCGGTACATCCACCAGGTCATGTGAACCTTACCTGCACAATTCCCCAACATTTCATTGTACCCAAATAAAAGCCTGTCCTGGATGTCCCTCACTCCCTCTCCCAGTGCCAGGCAACCCTTGTTTTCATGAATTTGCCGATTGGGGATATTTCATAMAAATAGACTCACCCAATGCACGGCCTTATGTTTCAGGATTCAGCCATGTTGTGGCATGGATCAGGTCTCCATTTCTTTCTATAGACAGACGACGTTCCATTGGGCATATCCATTCATTGTTTATCCATTCGTCAGCCGATGGCAAGTTGGGCTGTTCCACTTTGGAGTTATCATGAATAATGCTGCCATGCACAATTATGTGCAAATATTTGAGCACTTGTTTTCAATGCTCTTGRATATTTAAATATGAGTCAAATTGCAGGATTATAAGGTCTATAAGGTAACCCTGTGTTTACTCTTGGGGAGAACAGCTAAACGGCTTTCTACAGTGGCCACACCTATTTACATTCCTCCCAGCAGGGGAGGAGGATTGCATTTCCCACATCCTCAGGGACACTTGTTACTTCTTATAGCCACCCCATTGGTATGAAGTGGTAAGTTGAGATTTTGATTTTTGTTTTCCTAATGACAGTGAATTTTTTTTTTTTTTTTGTACTAGGGATTGAACCCAGGGGTGCTTAACCACAGAGCCACATCCCCAGCCTTTTAAAATATTTTATTTAGAGACAGGGTCTCCCTGAGTTGCTTAGTGCCTCGCTTTTGCTGAGGCTGTTTTTGAACTTGAGATCCTCCTGTCTCAGCCTCCTGAGCCGCTGGGATCACGTGTGTATGCTGCCACACCTGGTCAAAAGAGTAAATTTTAAGCCAAAGTTAGAATCATCCAGTGTCATTTGCACCCAAGCAGACGTCTGTCTGTTCATTCAGAGACATCGTCAGGATGTTCCCTAGAGGATAGAGAGAGGTCCCCTGGGGTTAGGGTGGAGTCCACTTTTCCCCTGTTGCTAAGCAGTGGGGGGATTAGTTATGTGTGTGTGTGTGTGTGTGTGTGTGTGTGTGTGTGTGTGTG